CCAGCGAAAAGTACTGCGGTGCTATTTCAGAGGGGAAGCTCCACACGGATTTCCTCCCGGATTAGGAGGAGGAATCTCACACCCCCGATTACTCTCTTTAGACAACCCATACCCTGGGCCAGGAAGGTCAAGTACCTGGGCGTTACCCTGGATGCATCGATGACATTCCGCCCGCATATAAAATCAGTCCGTGACCGTGCCGCGTTTATTCTCGGTAGACTCTACCCCATGATCTGTAAGCGGAGTAAAATGTCCCTTCGGAACAAGGTGACACTTTACAAAACTTGCATAAGGCCCGTCATGACTTACGCGAGTGTGGTGTTCGCTCACGCGGCCCGCACACACATAGACACCCTCCAATCCCTACAATCCCGCTTTTGCAGGTTAGCTGTCGGGGCTCCGTGGTTCGTGAGGAACGTTGACCTACACGACGACCTGGGCCTCGAATCAATTCGGAAATACATGAAGTCAGCGTCGGAACGATACTTCGATAAGGCTATGCGTCATGATAATCGCCTTATCGTTGCCGCCGCTGACTACTCCCCGAATCCTGATCATGCAGGAGCCAGTCACCGTCGACGCCCTAGACACGTCCTTACGGATCCATCAGATCCAATAACCTTTGCATTAGATGCCTTCAGCTCTAATACTAGGGGCAGGCTTAGGGACCCCGGTAACCGTACTCGTCGAACTCGACAAAGAGGTCGACGTGCAACCTAACCCATGCATCAGCCCGCTGAGTTTCTCGCCGGATCTTCTCAGCGGGTCGCGATTCCGATCCGGTAGTAGATTCATTCGCGAAACAATTGCTCTTGAGTTGTTAGGTCTCCTTCGGAGGCGCTCGGGCAGTTGTTAGCAAATCCCACCCCTCTTGGCTGAGCCTTTGCTCGCCCACCTGTCCTGGTGAAACTGGAAAGGCCTTCGGGCCACCAGTAAACTTTAAATCATAAAAAAAAAAAAAAAAACAGATTTGCAATGCATAACGGTGAAGCTGTCTTATCTGCGCCGGACATCACCTTTGCAAGCTCAGATATAGCCCTAGATTTTGACTGGTCTGTAACAAACGAATGTTTTGGTAGCGATCACCGTTTAGTTCTACTAAAGCTGCATGATTTATTTAGTTATATGCCACCAAGCAGTATACGAAATATAAAAAGTGCATACTGGCATTTAAATGAACAAGAAGTGGGCGCAAGCTGTGTGGATTTTGCCCTGAATAACGATTTGCAGGACAGCTACGATATGCTCCTCGTAGCTATTAACAGTGCAGCTGATAAAGCTATACCCTATACTCGTTTTCCAGAAAACCCACATTCAAAATTTAATCCAAAAATTGGTGGAATCAAGGCCTTTCAAAAATCGTCGCTGAAAGACGTTTAGCTTTGAAAAACTTTCGTAAAAATCCTTCTGCCGGAAATTTTGATATTTTACAAAATAAAGTTAGGGAAGCCAGACATATATATGATTAGAGCAGCTAAAAGGGAGTTATGGCAACGGTTTTGTAATAGCATAGATGCAAAGACTTTATATACAGACCTGTGGAAAAAGTTAAGGTGGTTAAAAGGTTATCGAACACCCAAAAAACGAGATTTTTTACAAGATGAGGTTGCTGAAAATTTTCTAGCTAATCTATCTCCAGATTGTGTTAGTTCTGAGTCCCGGAAAATTAATTGCACCAGTTTAGAATCTCATCCATTTACTTTGTCAGAATTAAATGCCATACTCAAGAAAAATGATACATCCGCAGGGTTGGACAATATTCTATGATTTTTCATCTACCACCAGACGTTAAGGTTTTATTGTTGTATATATATAATCTGATTTACATTTCCGGTCTTATCCCGAGTCAATGGAGAAACATCAAAATACTAGCAATTCCAAAACAAAATAACAACACATGTAAGTTTCCACCAATGGGATATTGTATATGCAAAATATTTAATTTGATGGTAACTAAAAGACTAGAACATTTTTTTGAAAGTAAAAAACTATTTAATGAACATACACTAGAGTTTCGTCGTGGTTTTTCATGTATTGATAACTTATCTCATTTTGTAATGGATGCTGAAATAGCTCTGACAAACAAAGAATACATGTTGTGTGGTTTTTGTGACATTTCAGACGCCTATAATAATGTTTCAATCGAATGTCTTTTTGTTTGCTTAGTTTTGGCTTAGATCCTTATCTATGTGTTTATATTAATGAATTTTTAAAAGAAAGACATCTTTTTTTGTTTCTACAAAATGGTGAATGCTTATTGAGGTTGTGCCGACAAGTTATGTCTCCGATACTTTTTAAGATTATTACAATAAATTTAAGCAGCAAGCTACCTTTGGTGAGAATATCTCAATATGCTGATGACTTCACCTTTACTACGTTAACAAGGATATTCAATGCTATGTTGAAAATATGGAGATCTCTCTCAATGAATTTTCGATGTTTTTACGAGAGGTAGGATTAGATCTTTCTTATGCTAAAACTAAGCCGTGAAGTCGTCGTGTGTAGCGATGCACCGGTGTTCGAATCCCGCAGGCGGGTATCAATTTTTCTAATGAAATACGTACTCAACAAATGTTCACGATTGACTTCCACGGTGAAGGAATAACATCGTGTAATAAAAACCAAACCCGCATAATTGTAATTTGCGTAATCACTGGTGGTAGGATCTCTTGTGAGTCCGCACGGGTAGGTACCACCACCCCGCCTATTTCCGCCGTGAAGCAGTAATGCGTTTCGGTTCGAGGGGTGGGGTAGCCGTTGTAACTATACTGAGACCTTAGAACTTATATCTCGAGGTGGGTGGCGCATTTACGTTGTAGATGTCTATGGGTTCCAGTAACCACTTAACACCAGGTGGGCTGTGAGCTCGTCCATCCATCTAAGCAATAAAAAAAAAAGCTTTGTATTCTTACACGGAAGTATAAAGTTCCGTCGATAGAAATAAAGATTAATGGTGAACAAATTGATGTTGTTAAATGTACGAATTTTCTTGGTATGTGGATTGATAGTAGATTAAACTGGACCAAACATATTGATGATTTAGTCAGTAAGTGTGTGTCATACATAAACATATTTAAATATCTGTGTAATTCTGGCCTGCATCCGTTGCTGCTGAGACGATTGTATTGTGGCCTAGTACAGACTAGGATAGATTATGGTAGCTTTCTCTACGATAGTGCGAGTACAGGAGTCCTCAGGAAGGTAGAATTGATTCAAAACCAAGGCTTACGGTCTTGTGGTGGCTTCATACGGACAACTCCAATTCATGTGATGCAATCAGAATTAAGTATAATGCCATTAGGGCTTAGAAGGCAATATCTTTGTCATAAATATATGTTGAAGGTTTGGTCCTGGTCAAATTATTATCTAAGTTCGCATATAGCTGCTTTTTTTGATTTGTTATTAAATGGCGCCCGATATTGGCGAAGAACCAGTAGTGTTTTACTGATTGATACACATAAAAAAGTTAGAGAGTTTGAAGTTTCCAAAAATCAGACATTGCTACAGTATCAGTTACCCTTTCTTATTACGAGGCTGCCCTTGTACAATATCATTTCTATAGATATTAAATCAATAACAACCCCTAAAAAGCAAACCATTGAATATGATTACAATAATGCATTTGCATCAATGTTAGAGAATAAATTTCATGGTTTTGTTCAAATATACACAGCGCCTCAAAGGATAGACTAAATGCGGGTTGCTCCTTTTTTGATCACAGTAGATCATATAACGCTAAGTTCAGATTGATAATAAACATATTCCTATTATGGGACTGGAGTTGCTTGCAATATTGAAGTCAATTTCTTATGCGGAATCATGCGGATATAGAAAATTTGTGATATTTACTGATTCGGCGTCTTCTTTGCATTATTTGTTAAGCTGTGGAAAGGGCACTTTTGGGAGACAGGAGGCTTACTCCATTATAAAATGTATTTGGTGTTTAATAGATAATGGTGTTCAAGTCAGGATGCAATGGGTCCCTTCGCATGTGGGGATCCGCGGCAACGAGGTGGCTGACGATGCGGCCAGGTCGGCCTTAACCAATGGTGCAGAACTAAAGATCCAACCATGTCATTTTGATTACTTAGCACAGGTTCGCGAAAGTATATATAAATTGTGGAAAACAGCATTTTGTCAAACCTCAAGAGAGAAGGGTATCTTGTACGGTACTATAGTTAGGGAGCCATCTCGTGTGCCGTGGTTTTCCGCATGTAGGTTGAGTAAAAGAGAGCTGATCCTCTGTATGAGGATTCGTTCTGGACATGTTCCCCTGGGTGCATTTAGGTTTTTAATGCGCTTACAAGACAGTCCCAACTGTGCCACGTGCCACAATGTCAAGGAGGATCTCTACCACCGCCTAATGGAATGTGTCCAGAACGAACCGGAAAGAGCAGAACTGTTGCAAGATACGGGTCACTCTAGGTATGAATTGTTCTTTTTTTGCATAATATTTTTGTATCAGGTTTTAAATGTGATAGTGTTATGAGTTTTTTAGTTTGTTCTTTCTTGAAAGATGTAAATTAAGCGATATAGTTATTTTAAGTGTTTTTCTTTAAGATTTATGTTTCACTGTATTTAAATATGTTTTTTTTTTGTTTTGTTTATATAATAGCCGACTTAACCTAAAAGGTGTATGGCTCTCATATAGAATAAAAATTTTTTTTTTTATGACGTTGCAACGTAGAATGGGGAACCGCTGTCAAAACCCAGTTTCTTTTTAATTATCATAAGCTTTTTCGGGTATCACGGTTAAACCTGTGGAAGCACAAAGCACCAACCTCCAGCGGGAAGCACCAACACACTCTACACTAATATAGAATATTGATGTATTTTTGAAGCATAAGGATTCTGTGACGTTCGGTTCGTCTTGAATAATTTCATACAAAGGTCAAAGGTTAGCTGATGGCCATGAAAAAAGAAGAAAGAAGAAGAAGAATTAGATATAATTAATTAATAATAATGTATATTCACTATTTACATAATGTTGTAGATTATACTATTGTAGCCAGGGTAATTGACGTGGCCAGAGTCTCGGTAACCATAGTTTCTATAGCCGTTAATGCCATATCTGTCGTATCCATAATCGTGGCGTCTGCCTAAGCCGCTAAAGGCACCAAATCCAAAGTCAGATAAACCAGCGCCTGCTCCACCTCCGACGCCTATTCCTAGACCTAGCTTAGCTCCATCATGACGGTAGCCGTCAGTGCTACCACGTCCGTATAATCCAGTACCAACATTGGCTCCACCTCCGAGTCCGAAATCGTGATAACCATGGCCGTAACCATGTCCGTGAGATTCGGCACTGACACCGAGTCCTAGCCCTGCGTCACCATGTCCGTATCCGTTACCATGGCCATGAGCTCCAACACCAACACCGAGTCCTAGGCCAGCGTCACCATTTCCGTATCCGTTACCATGGCCATAACCTCCAACACCAACACCGAGTCCTAGTCCAGCATTATTGTCTCCATTTCCATTACCATGTCCATGAATTCCAGCACCAACGCCTAGTCCTAGTCCCGCGTCATTGTCTCCATGTCCATGGCCATGTCCATGAATTCCGGCACCAATACCTAGTCCTAGTCCAGCGCCACCGTCTCCATTTCCATGTCCATGTCCATGAACTCCAACACCAGCACCAACTCCTAGTCCAGCGTCACCGTCTCCATTTCCATGCCCATGTCCATGAACTCCAATACCAGCACCAACTCCTAGTCCAGCGTCATCGTCTCCATTTCCATGCCCATGTCCATGAACTCCAACACCAGCACCAACTACTAGCTCAGCGTTACCGTCTCCATTTCCATGTCCATGTCCATAAGCTCCAACACCAGCACCAACTCCTAGTCCAGCGTCACCATCTCCATTTCCGTGTCCATGTCCATGAGCTCCAACACCAGCACCAACTCTTACTCCAGCGTCACCGTCTCCATTTCCATGCCCATGTCCATGAACTCCAATACCAGCACCAACTCCCAGTCCAGCGTCATCGTCTCCATTTCCATGCCCATGTCCATGAACTCCAACACCAGCACCAACTACTAGCTCAGCGTTACCGTCTCCATTTCCATGTCCATGTCCATAAGCTCCAACACCAGCACCAGCTCCTAGTCCAGCGTCATCGTCTCCATTTCCATGCCCATGTCCATGAACTCCAACACCAGCACCAACTCCTAGTCCAGCGTCACCGTCTCCATTTCCATGTCCATGTCCATGAACTCCAACACCAGCACCAACTCCTAGTCCAGCGTCACCGTCTCCATTTCCATGTCCATGTCCATGAACTCCGACACCAGCTCCGACTCTTAGTCCCGCGTCACCGTCTCCATTTCCATGCCCATGTCCATGAACTCCGACACCAGCACCGATTCCTAGTCCAGCGTCTCCGTCTCCATTTCCATGCCCATGTCCATGAACTCCGACACCAGCACCGATTCCTAGTCCAGCGTCTCCATCTCCATTTCTATGCCCATGTCCATGAACTCCGACACCAGCACCGACTCCTAGTCCAGCGTCACCATCTCCGTTTCCATGCCCATGTCCATGAACTCCAATACCAGCACCGACTCCTAGTCCCGCGTCATTGTCTCCATTTCCATGGCCATGTCCATGAGCTCCGACACCAGCACCAACTCCTAGTCCAGCGTTACCGTCTCCATTTCCATGTCCATGTCCATAAGCTCCAACACCAGCACCAACTCCTAGTCCAGCGTCACCGTCTCCATTTCCATGTCCATGTCCATGAATTCCAGCACCAATACCTAGTCCTAGACCAGCGTCACCGTCTCGATTTTCATATCCATGTCGTCCATGGATTCCAGCACCAACACCTAGTCCTAGTCCAGCGTCGCCGTTTGCGTTTCCATGTCCATGTCCATGAATTCCAGCACCAACACCTAGTCCCAGTCCAGCGTCACCGTCTCCATTTCCATGTCCATGTCCATGAATTCCAGCACCAGCATCTAGTCCTAGTCCAGCGTCACCATGTCCATTTCCATGTCCATGTCCATGAATTCCAGCACCAATACCTAGTCCTAGTCCAGCATCACCGTCTCGATTTCCATATCCATGTCGTCCATGGATTCCAGCACCAACACCTAGTCCTAGTCCAGCGTCGCCGTTTGCGTTTCCATGTCCATGTCCATGAATTCCAGCACCAACACCTAGTCCCAGTCCAGCGTCACCGTCTCCATTTCCATGTTCATGTCCATGAATTCCAGCACCAACACCTAGTCCCAGTCCAGCGTCACCGTCTCCATTTCCATGGCCATGTCCATGAATTCCAGCACCAACACCTAGTCCCAGTCCACCGTCATCGTCTCCATTTCCATGTCCATGAATTCCAGCACCAATACCTAGTCCTAGTCCAGCGTCACCGTCTCCATTTCCATGTCCATGTCCAAGAATTCCAGCACCAATACCTAGTCCTAGTCCAGCGTCGCCGTGCTTATGTCCGTGTCCATGTCCACCAAGACCAAGACCAGCGCCGATATTTAAACCGAGTCCAAGATGAGGTAAGCCTGAAACACGCATATCAAATTTTGTGTTAGAATAGCAGAGTTGCATTTATATGTGACGATTTAAAAATATTTGAAGGAAGCGCTTTGTAGGCCCATTTTCGGTACAAAAATTCTATGACGATTTTCTTATAAAAGTGTATAATTTCTTTTCATTTTATAAAGACCAAAGTAAATGGTATGCGAATAAAGTGGGGTACATGGTAATTTTGACAAGACTCCTAAATTTAAGATTCATTGGATTTTTTGTTTACATTACCTACAAAGTTTCCTCATGAAATTTTAACAAGATCATTGGTGACATACATAATTATATGATACTAATTGAAATATCAAAGACATTCTGACCCCAGAAATGGTAAACGCTGACAAATTCTTAAATTTTGTGTAACATCAGGGATCACTGATTGCATATTGTTATTATTAATAGCCAAACATGACTTTCTATTGTTCGCCGTGTATAGGAAAGCATTGGCATTACTTCTTTACAGTTGTATTGTTTTCATCTAAAAACTCTAGGTTAACGCTTATGTGCCACTCATTTTTTATTATCATCAATTGAACAACCCAAATCCCTTTGTGTTCTGAAATTAGTTCATAATGAATCCATGTTGTAAGCTATTGTTCTGTTGTGTATATATATAGCTTGATGTTTTTTTTTTTAATTGCCATGTACCAAACTTTAAAACAGAGCTAAAAAAGGCTCTTTGCTATCTGCCAAGCGCGTGTTATGAGCTCCTTCGGACACATCATGTGGTCTCTCAGACATGAATTAGAGAAGCTCATAATTTTAGGTCGCATAGAGGGCAAGCGCGCCGTGGGCAGAACACCAGCCATATGGTCAAATCTGGTTAGAAAAGCGGTTGGTGGTAGTCTATAATCACGGGGTCCATGCCACCCATGACCGAAGCCTATGGATGAAAGTCACATGTGGTCGCGATATTCAGCAGTGAAGGAAAAATGAAGAAGAGGTACCAATTTCTAAATGACCTCCAATCTCTTCGTAGGTGATGCGTCAATTTTATTCAACTAATCGCCTCACAGTGGCCACATTATCCCCAGTGATCGTAATAAGGGGAGCGAAAGATGATCTCTATTAAATTTAACGTACCAACGCTTTACGGGGCTCAAACGAGGTGCTTCACTTTCAAAAGCATTTCAAGAATGAGCAATGTAATCTTATGGAGATATTAAAATCGTAAAAATCATCACACTAGTACATCACGAGAATTTTTGCTACGAACGACGAAGTGATACAAATGACAGTTAATTTCCTGTTAATGATTTAATGAGTTCGCGTGTCAAAATGATGTAAGAGAAATTTTGAACACAGTTGTATTATACTATAATGCATACTCAATCCCGGAGAGACTAACAGTTAATGTAATGAATGTATTATTAGGAATGTATACTTATTGGAGCCTAATTAAATAAAGGACAGAACATGTACTATAATTTTTTTTTTTTTATTGCTTAGATGGGTGGACGAGCTCACAGCACTTAACACACAGTTAAGTGGTTACTGGAGCCCATAGACATCCACAACGTAAATGCGCCACCCACCTTGAGATATAAGTTCTAAGGTCTCAAGTATAGTTACAACGGCTACCCCACCCTTCAAACCAAAACGCAATACTGCTTCACGGCAGATATAGGCAGGGTGGTGGTACCCGCGGACTCACAAGAGGTCCTACCACCAGTAATTATATAAATATGGATAATATGTTTTCAGTAAATCTGGTGACCCCACATTCGTCATATGTGGTAAACACAAATAATATGCTATTGTTAATAAATAAAATTTTAAAACCATATATAAAAGAAACTATACCAACCTTGTACTGCTATGGCTACTGCCAATATTAGGCAAGCAATCTGGAAAAATATTTAAGATCATGTTAACAGGTTCAAGAACGTTGTGAAAATTGGTGAATCTTGCAATTAATATGGTACTTTTATTAATTTAACTAACTCTCACGCTTATCATAATAAAATTAATGAATGATAATACTACTTTCATCATCGTTTTCGTGTTCACGGACTACGGTAATGATGAGGAATGGGAGAGTGATTTGTAAAAGTTTTTTTGGTTATTACTACGACTCGCGAAAACCGAAGAAAATTCTAAAACATTAATAATTTAGGAACACGTTGGAGTTGAGGACAACAGTCATGTTGTAGTTCGTACCACCTCGGGAAACCGCTTCGCTGGTGGTAGCGTGGTGATAGTCCGCGCGGATGTGGTGGTGTGTTATCCGCTTAATTCTGCCGCGAAAAGTCACGCGTGTTCGTTTGAGATGCGGAAGAGCCGTTTTACAATATAAGATGGCTAAGTTCACAATTATTTCAATTTCAAATAAATTGGAATACGTTTTTTTTTTAAATTGAAACACTTGGCCTTTTCATGGCGGAAACGGGTACAATCATGAGACTAGGTACGGTGGGATCACACGTCCTATTGTATATCATTCTCATGTTAATAACACACACCGTAAATTACTGAATACTCAAAATCAACTTACTTTGAAAGCCATTGTAAATGTAACTAATAAAGACATGTACATCGATGTTTTATATTGCTGTTTTTATCTAAATGTTTGATCATATTTTGACCTTCCCGTTCAACTATGAGATCAGTTCGCATTTTCGTTATAAAATATTGATAAGAAACATTTCTGAAATAGTGACAATTATCGCTACAAAATAAAATTATCTTTTAAATAGTGACGCAACTTAAATCTTATTGAAAATCGAGATGTTAGAGCTGAACCTGTGCCTAGAATAAATTCGACCGTAAAGGATTCAGTATCGGCGCTCCGTACTGGAGGCGTGGTTTAGCCTCTTGATGAATCCGTTGCCTCATATTCTGAGCGTCAAGGTCGGTCTTCGCAGATCGGGTGAGCCGTGCTCGAGGGTATTTAATTTTCCAGCTGACGCAGGTGTTAATTGGTCCCGATCGTTTCAGCTGGTAGGATTGAACAACTGTCCCGAACTTCATACTCAAATCCATGACTGCATACACGGTTTTGAATACACATTAAATAAGCGTCTCCATCAGCGCGTACTGTTCGCGTAGACGAATAGTTGGTAACATTAAATTGCGCGATGGACTGCCTCCTATAATAGATCCGATGACACAGTCTCTGTAGGCTGCGGCACATGGCATCGTTATCTTTATAGACATTTAAACTTGAACTTCTGATCAAAGTTTACTTGATAACTTTTTACGTGTTTAATTTTATCCATTATTTTTATAATGTCGATAGAGAATAATATTATTTATCAGTAGTTCTTACACGTGTTGGTCTATTATATTTTAGATTATGATTAAATTTAATAAATTTCGATTATCAGGCATTAACTTACTTTGGTATTAGCCTTTTGTGATTTTCACTTATCCCTAATTAGTTTCAAATCCTTGGAACTAAATTCAAAGATGATGATAACTACCGTCTTAGTTGAGTTTTTTCGGATAAGGAAATTAAAGTTCGTGTTTCGTGTTTATTTTTAAACTTACCCCTTTGTACAATCGACGCTGGCGACAAAGTAATATAAATACTATGATGATTGGTGCTGATTCTAGTGTGACCTGAACGGGTGGGTACTATTATACTGCTTATGTCTAGGCCTCTGTCGTAATGTACCCAAGTGTTCCATATAGGTAAAGCACTTAGAGAATTGAATAGCAGTAAGATTGGGTAGCAGTACTAGCTAGAGTCTCCGACAATAGTTCTTTAGTTCGATAGAAGCATTCATGCTGTGATGACCACGGTCTCCGGTGCCAGGAAAAAATAAATATCCTTGGCCATGCAGGGACGTCTTAAACTAGGATGGGGCCCTCGGGCACACAATAATTTGAGGCCCTTTTGGAAAGTAAAAAAACCGAGTTATAATAACATTTTTTTACTGAGTTTGAGACCATTTATTATAGGTAATCAAATACAGTATGATAGAATGTCCTTAATGATATTAGAATGCTGCTGGTTTTTTGGTTACGATTTCGATAACGGTTTCTTTCAGGATTTCTGTTGAGCAAAATCTTCTATTATAGTCATAGTATATGCCTTGTAAATACCTTCTGATTACTGACTTGTGAAAAAAGTGTACTGTGCCCGACAAAAATGTTTTGAGAATAAACGTGTGAGAGAAATTGTCGGTCTTTCGGGGCCCCCTGAGAATGGGGGCCCTAGGCACGGGCCCCGCGTGCCCTTATGGTAAAGACGGTATTGTGCCCATGGTGAACAATGAACTCCTATTGAATAATACTTCTACCTTGTCGGACACTCTTGGCAGAGTAGTCATGGCTGTCAATGGATAGGGTTGCGTCTTGTCGTCGCCACTGGCTTCCAAGCAGGGTTGCCAACCCCAGCATAGAGCATAACCGTAGTTATGCTTAAAAAAAAACTGTAAATATAAAATTAAAAACAGTAAATCAACAAGTAATAATTATTATTATATTATAATAATAATATATATGTATATTATGTATTTCACTGGATTGGTACACCGCGCGTAGTTCGTTTCCAAATTATTCTTGTCCGCCCTATTGTTGTCTGGAAGAGATCGCTCTTAGCGATAAGACCGACAATTGTATTTTTTTGTGTTTAATGTATCGCACTGTTTATTTGTTTTTTGGTGTACAATAAAGAATACTCTCTCTCTCTCTCTCTCTCTCTAAATCTACACCCTTATCTTTATATTATATATTGTATAATTTAATGATAGTATCTAATAAATAGAATACATTGTAGGGAGGGCATTAAAAACAATTCCCGAGTAAGTAAAAGAACCAATAGCAGAATGTCGGTAAAACAGCATCGATCGAAATGACCACTAACGCCATCTATTAACTCACCTAACCATTACCTCCGGTTCGATGGTAGTATTCGATAGTAGTATTAATTGGTTTTACTGAAGCTGACTTAGTGTCTGGACTAATAAAATAGATGACGCTATCATCTATACTAATATTATAAAGAGGAAAGGTTTGTTTGTTTGTTTCGAATAGGCTCCGAAACTACTGGACCGATTTGAAAAATTCTTTTTCCATTAGAAGCCGACATTGTCCCTGATGAACATAGGCTACTTTTTTTAATTTTTATTTTATATTATTTTTTTGGTTTCATGTGTGTTTTAATGTTTCCGAAGCGAAGCGAGGGCGGGTCGCTAGTCTAACATAAAAAGCTGTAGATTTCTGTAAAAACTAAGAGAATTTCCGAAAAACTGTAGATTTACAGTTAAAGCTGTAGGGTTGGTAGCAGTGCTTCCAAGGCAACCGCACGTCTGGCGATGTTCCTCCATTAGAGGCGGCTGTTAGCATTGCGAGCATTATCATGACGATATGAACTCCGGTAATTTTCTAAAGTGAATGAATGAAAAGGTAATCCTAAATTTGCCTGAAAAGTCACTCGTGGTTATGGACAAAGCCTCATACCACTGCACACAGACAAACAAAGCGCAAACATTGGCACATTAAAAAGTGAAATACAATTGTGATTGCATAAAAAAAATATCTTTTTTTTCTTATTGCTTAGGTGGGCGAACGAGCTCACAGCCCCCCTGGTGTTAAGTGGTTACTGGAGCCCATAGACATCTACAACGTAAATGCATCACCCACCTTGAGATATATGAGTTCTAAAATCTCAGTATAGTTACAACTGCTGCCCTACCCTTCAGACGGAAATGCATTACTGCTTCACGGCAGAAATAGGCGGGGCGGTGGTACCTACCCGCGCGGACTCCCAAGAGGTCCTTCCTACCACCAATGAAAAAGTTCATTTTGAACTGACCTGGACGAAAGCCGTATTGTTTGATCTAATTAAACAAAATAAAGGACAGCCAACTTATGCAGTAGATGAACTTTTAAAAAGCTCCAGTCATGAAATTCTGAGACTACCACCACATCACTGCGAGCTTAATCCAATTGAAAAAATATGGAGTCTTGTACAAAGACGCGTGGTTGAAAAAAATGTTGACCAGGGCCCGTAATAAATTACTTATTTAAAACAATTTAAAATTGACGGAAGACGCGTTTACAAGCGCAACTCCAGAAGATAGGTTTGTTCAGTGCAAACATGCGAAACATTTAGAGGATGAATATTTTAGGAATGACGGGCTAATGGATGAAGAAATGGACCGGATTATTATATCAAAAGCAGGTGATAGTGAAACAGAGTCGGATGACGAAAGTAATAAGGGTTTTTTTTCCATAGGAGAAAATCGCCGGATCCGGTATGTGGGAGTCGAACCTCACTAAAAACTCCTGCCGCTCACAGCCGGCACCCTACTCCGGACTGGGCGGGAACCCAGTCGGAGCTATTGAGACGGTGGGACAGGGTTTACGCAGAGCATATTACATCCATCCCGCCGTCCCCCAGACGCCGGAACGGCGGCCGCCAGCGACACGACCGCTGGTTCCGTCAGTCGACGGCCCAAGAGCCCGCCTTGATGGCGCTGCGCTACACTGCCCCGGAGCGGTCGGGGGAACTCGGCCTACCACGCCGCCCCACGCCTTGGTTTCCCCGAACAAAGCGGGCGGAGCCCAGTCAGCACCTACACCAGACGGAAGGTGAGGCGTCTTTGGCCACGATTCACTCAGTCGTCAAAGGCTGGGTAAACCGCCTCGACGGCTCGTAGACCCCACGTGTGGTTAGAAGTAATATGGATGACTATGATTCAGGCAGTGACCGTTGTATGTCTGGAATAAACCCAATGGGTGACCTTAATTATGTTGTTAAAATATAAATAAAATTATATTTTATTCTTTTTCTTTATTCTGTATTTTCTTTCTTTTATGTATATATAAAATAGCGAATTGTTCAATTTTATTTACTATCTGCCACTAGCACTGCGTCCTCTAACTAGGGGATTTTTGGAGAATTCAATAGGAAGCGCTGGTAATATTTCGGGCTGGACATATTTCGTGAGACGAACTTTACAAAATTAATTCTCTCCCGCCATATTGTATCAGCGTAATAAAATATGGACCGCCAAGAGAACAAACGAATTTGTCCTCGAGCAACTTCGTATAGAAACGAGACTGTTGACGATTTGCTACCAGAAGGTTCTTGATTTTGGTCACATTGCTCGGCGGCCACCAGAAAGCTTTGAAAGATTGACTGCGGTGGTAGAAGGGAAAAGACCCGCCGGCCGGCCACCAAACGGTTGGTCAGATTAGATAACTGCACTCACTGGACTCTCTGTTGCGAACGCCCTGAGAAAAGCCGAAAATCGAAGCAAATGGAAGCTAATGGTACAAAGAGCCAGGAAGGGCTTTCAGGGACACGGACCTTCAGTAATGAAGTATTCGACTAAGAAGAAGAAATATCTATGAGTTATTTATTTACTGAGTTAGTGTACGAACATTCGACAGAGATTTATTAGTTTGCTTTGTTAATTGATGTAACTACAAAAATATTACAGCAATTCGTTTTAACTATGACAATAAATTGTATTGCCGCCATTCAAGCAAAATATTTCTAAATAAAATAACCAATCGTAACATAGTAATAATAATATGTGTATCTGACAATAGACGGCGGATGGATTCTCCCCTTGGAAAACTCAAAATTATCGTGGTTACAGGATATGGTCGTAGATCAATAATGTATACACATAATACATTTTAAAATTAAATTTATTATACAACATTGTTTATACAACACGTGAGCTCTAAGCTGTTAAACAAATTGTGTTGACATGCCTAGATCAGTGTCTGAGGCCATTTGCGATATTTGAGGTGAGGGCACCACCAATGGCAGTGCCGATACCACCCAATGAAGTGGCAATGCCTTCAAGGCCCTTTTCGATTTTATCTTCGTCTATACCATGGTCTGCTAAACTGGAAATATCCTTTACGTGTCCGGCATTGTCTTTGCCAAAACTGTCGAGCGCGGAGTCACCAAAGCTACCGAATCCGGAGTCGTGGTGTCCAAATCCGGAGTCATGGTGTCCAAATCCGGAATCATGGTGTCCAAATCCGGAGTCATGGTGTCCAAATCCGGAGTCATGCCCGAAGCTACCGAATCCAGAGTCGTGGTGTCCAAATCCAGAATCGTGCCCGAAGCTTCCGAATCCGGAGTCACGTCCAAAGCCACCGAACCCAGAGTCACGACCGAAACTATCGAATCCAGGGTTGCGATTTCCAAAGCCGCCAAATCCGGAATCATGACCAAAACTGCCGAAGCCGCTATGACCAAAACCAGAATTGTCGTATCCTCCAAAACCAAAGCCTTTTTTTAGAGTTCCTGCTACAGCTTCGACTTCACCGCTTCCATCAACATCGCTACTGCCATGAGGGAAGGCTGAAACATACGTGCGTACATAATATAATATAACATTTTTATGCGTGCTGGACTTAAGCGTCACTAGCTTTATAATATAATTCGTTTTAACTTCAGGAACCCGAACGAAAATTCAACTTTTAGAATATAAAAAAAAACTTCAGAGGTGTCAAGGGACACCCGGATGGAACGAAGTTCCTTTCGATTAATTAGTGAAGGAATTGTAATTTTTTTTTTTGAGTTATAATAATAAATTACGGCATTATGAAGAAGAAAAAAACAAGACTATGAACTAAATTACTATTGTTGAAACGCTATCTCGAGAAACTGTACTCATTACGCGGACCAATCGGATACGAGCAATGTCACGCGATAAGCGCCTACACGTTGATTGGTCAGAATGACGGATCTAAAAAGTGTCGTGACAACTTTTCGTAAGATTTTTTTCCGTCTAGCCTCCTTTCACAACGCGCGATAAGGAACTTCGTTCCAATAAAATTTCCCACAAATTATACATATTGCATTATGACGTTTAGTGGTTAATAAAGAAGAAAGGGATATGAACAAACAAATTAAAAGTTATCTTTTATAATTTTTAGCAAGTGAAAGTCTACGGGATATGCCTATTCTGGAGAAGGCGCACATTGTGTTTGTGGCTTAAAAATCAGTCTATTTATGTCGTAATCCGTTTCCTCGGCTTCAAGGATGCTGAAGCCATCAAGTACAGGTGAAACTCTCTTCTATGATACGGTTTTTACAGCACGCTTCCATTAACACGAAAAGAAATATTCCCTAAAACCTTCTTATAACACGGTAATCTAATCTCCAATCCAGAGACGTAATCTCGAAGCCTCAATTGCGTCCGAGTAGCCAACTCCAACTCTTAAAACCGGAGAACATTTTAGTTGTTCGTGCAGCTTATCGGTAGGATGGTAGTACCGGTTTAGTTAAAACAAAGTATTTGAGTACAGTTAACCCTCCACGGGCTTTTATAAAACAGTTCCACTCTAACACGGAAGGGGAAATTCCTCAAAACCCTTCTTATAGCACGGTACTTCTACAACACGATAACGGGATTTTTGTTTATAATTATTTAGAAAATTGAGTTATGCTCTATGATCACTCAATATAATAGTATGAGAATAATTGAAATTTTACTGTTATTTTTTTTATGGATAATTGGTAAAAAAAACAGGCATAGTTGCGATGCTTAATTCAGAAAAATTACTCTCTTTTTATACTGAATTACTCTTCTCATATACCACGGTTTAGCACAACACGGGACTTTATAGGAACATATCTAGCCTGTAATACAATTTTTACTTCATGCGTCAAGGTCGGTATCTGAATTCACCAGGTAAACAGTGAGCTAACTCACGCCTTTTGTGTTATAAAAATAATGATCTTGAGAACACGAGGGCACAGAGATCGTCCGTTTTTGGTGGTGCTAAAATAAATAAATGAAAAAAACACTTAATACCAACCTTGTGCTACTGCAAGTACAGCCAGAATGAAGCAAGTAATCTGAAAAGAAAAATTATACATTTTATGAAGTATCGACAGTTGACTGAGTTGATTATATAAAACTGAAGAGGAATGTTATATATGAAGTTTAATTATCGCGGGATATTGACATTTAATTTAAATATGTATAAACGATCACTAATTTTATTTATCATCGGCTAGGTAAGGTTAGAATGTGGCTGTGTTATGGGCTTTGAGGTAGTGTTGTCTGTGATTTCGATAACCACTTTAAAATTAATAATGACGGTAAGAATCGGTAATAAAGGATATCATTTGGTCCCAAGCTAGGATTCCCTCTATATATAAACTAGAGACTGAAATACATACTCATGTTCTTTTTTTTTATTGCCTTTGTAGGCAGACGGGCATACGGCCCACCTGATGGTGAGTGGTTACCGTTGCCCATGGACTTCAGCAATGCCAGGGGGGCAATGCTCTAGGGGCAGAGCCAAGCCGCTGCCTACCGCTTAATACTCTCCACAAGCCTCGTTTGAAGAAGGACATGTCATAGCGCTCGGGAAACACATGTGTAATGTACATAAGTTTTAAATATACATATATGTATATTACGCAATGAGAGCCAATTTGTCACACGAATTTTTGCTCAATGTCCGACTCGAAACCAAAATATTCGACCTGACAGCTAGGCTGCCGGCTACTGTACCGTCGAGTCAGATAACTATGATCATCATTCCGAAAATTTGCCTTGAAAACAGTTTCCAGAGTGGACCATTTCGAGGGATGACCGACTATTTGGGTTAAGCGACATTTTTACAGCTTTACAGGAGAGTCATTTAAAGTTTAACATTTTTGAAAAAAATTTATCATAACTTAAAAACTTCTACGGCTGTTTCAATGGGGTAAACAATTACATCGAAATTAATTACATCAAATTGTTGATGCTAATGAAGAGCCTTTCACTCCTCCATATTAATGAAACTGTAGGGTATCAGATCTTGTGGTCCGCAAATAAATATCATAATAAAACTTAATAAATAATAACAGTAATTTTTAGTTTTTAATCAAAACATAGATTTGGAAAAAAAGACTTACTTTCAGTGCCATCTTGGAAGCGTGAACTGATAAAAGCATGTTCACTGAAGCTTTATATAGTACTCTTTATCTGGATGTTATGAGTATTTGACCTCTGCGCTTGAACATGATTAGGAACAAATATGACGATCGACTTTAGATTTTTTGTGACAGAAACTACAATTATTTCCATAGATTTAACACGCAACTGAAGTTTTTTTTTTTCATTTATTTAAATGCTTATAGCAAAGTTTTGTCTTTGAAATATTTTAATTTGAATTGAAAAGTTCATTACCAATACTTAAGATTTTCAGCGTGTTGGAACGAAGTTCTTTATCGCGCGTTGTGGAAGGGGGCTAGACGGAAAAAATTCTTACGAAAAGTTGTCACGACACTTTTTAGATCCGTCATTCTGACCAATCAACGTGTAGGCGCTTATCGCTTGACATTGCTCGCATCCGATTGGTCCGCGTAATGAGTACAGTTTCTCGAGACAGCGTTTCAACAAAAGTAATTTAGTTCATAGTATTGTTTTTTTCTTCTTCATAATTCCGTAATTTATTATTATGACTTAAAAAAAAATTACAATTCCTTCACTAATTAATCGAAAGGAACTTCGTTCCATCCGGGTGTCCCTTGACACCTCTGAAGTTTTTTTGTTTTATTTTATTTTATTGATTGGGTACCAACATGTTATACATCAGCACAGAACATTACAGGTATCATATACATTGATTTCACACTAAATGCTAACACAATTACAGGTACCGACTGCATGCATAAAAAAAAAGCGGTACATTATATAAAAAACAAAGAAAAACTATATATAACATTACGTGAAGACCTTACATTATTACACATTTACTACCAAATACGCTATTACTTAATTGAAAAAACTCATTGAGCAAGGTTGTAGACTTCTCGTCTAAAACTGTCAACAGTGCCAGCAAAAACGTTTAGAGAATACTTGTTATGCAAATTATTTAATTCCCCAACTAGTCTGCTGAGAGGCGCGTTCTTACCAAGGTTGGTGTTGTATCTGGGAACCCTGAACACCATCAACTTCGAAGACCTTGTGTTATTCACGTATTTATTGTCCAAACGAAGCCGAAGTGCTTGTTCAAGTGCCTTGTACACTCTTTGAGACGTCGATGAGATCTTGCGTCTTCCCAAATTAACACAAGCCTACGAAAACTTAATTTACATCATTGTCAAGAACAAGATACCATCAAAGTCTAGTTCAACCATCGTTAAACGACCAAAGCTGTCGCCGTTAGGCCGTTACGGGTGTAAGATCAAAGCCATAAAGCCGACAACAGCACATGACTCTGACATACGACACCATTACAGGCGGTACCGTCAGCATAAAACAGGGATATATTTTTAATTTGGAAATATATTTTTTAAGGTAACTTGTCTTTTTTTTTTATTGCTTAGATGGGTGGACGAGCTCACATCCCACCTGGTGTTTAGTGGTTACTGGAGCCCATGAACATCTACAACGTAAATGTGCCACCCACCTTGAGATATAAGTTCTAAGATCTCAGTATAGTTACAACGGCTGCCCCACCCTTCAAACCGAAACGCATTACTGCTTCACGGCAGAAATAGGCAGGGCGGTGGTACCTACCCGCGCAGACTCACAAGAGGTCCTACCACCAGTTTTAAAGGTACTACTTGAATATTTTGCGTATAAGATTCAATGTTAACAGCTGAGTTGTTGTTTTGTCTCTACGTATGGTCAATGATCACAAAGTTCGCGGCCCACCTAGAGTTAGCTTGTTAGTCGAGCCCATATACGTAACAGTGTGAATGCCGTACCATGTTTGAGGCAAGAAGTTAAGAGTTTCAGGTTTGAGTAACGGTAGACACCACCAAACTAAAACGCATGACCGCTTCACGAGAGAGAGACAAGCCAGTGATATTTATCTATGAAGACTCATAAGACAATAACTTACATTAAGGCTTAAAATTTTTATTTATTTAATACAATTCGAATAAAAATAACAGTAGCATAAAACAATATTTTTTATTATTTTTTATTTTTTATTGCTTAGTTGGATGGACGAGCTCACAGCCCACTTGGTGTTAATTGGTTACTGGAGCCCATAGACATCTACAACGTAAATGCGCCACCCAACTTGAGATTCTAAGATCTCAGTATAGTTACAACGGCTGCCCCACCCTTCAAACCGAAACGCATTACTGCTTCACGGCAGAAATAGGCAGAGTGGTGGTACCTACCCGCGCGGACTCTCAAGAGGTCCTACCACCAGTAATTACGCAAATTATAATTTTGCGGGCTTGATTTTTATTACACGGTATTATTCCTTCACCGTGGAAGTCAATCGTGAACTTTTGTTGAGTACATACTCCATTAGAAAAATTGGTACCCGCCTGCGGGATTCGAACACCGGTGCATCGCTACATACGAATGCACCGGACGTCTTATCCTTTAGGCCACGACGACTTCTTCTATTTGTATGTACTCTGAACTAAAATAGATATCGTGTAAACAAATCGTTCCCGTGACGGTAATAAAACACAATTCTGATGTTAACGAAAGACAATATCAACTTATTAACAATTAACAAAAGAATAAAACTTCAATATTCGGTTTTTGGAACTAAGTTTTGAAAATCATCAAAAAACATAAATTTCATGTATCGACCCAGTATTTAATCTATTTAAAATGTAAATTGGCAAAAGCTGGTTTTATTAAATAATCGGTATCTGTATTGTCATGTGTGTAAGTTTTTTTGCCCTTTTTACGTAAATTTCGCGGACGGAGGAGTATGAAATTTCCCACACTTATAGAGAATATAAAGAAGGAGTGCAGAATGCTAATTATTAAAAAAAAAACCCATTAAATCGATAAATAAAACATTACACACACTACAACGTATTTAACACGCTCACAGACGCATGCAGACTATTTGTTTATTGTCAAAATTGTGAATAGAGTAATAATGTTTATCTTTATTAATATTTGTCTAAAGTGTAGTCTTGGCGAAATCTGTGATTATAGAAGTGTCTTTGACAGTAGAATCATAATAGTTTATAAACTTAGAATTTCAATTAATTATAGTTGAATTTCGACTACCAGGGGACCACTTTTTTTTTATTCCCTATTAGGCAGACGAGCATACAGCCCACCTGATGGTGAGTGGTTACTGCCGCCCATGGACTTCAGCAATGCCAGGGGCAGAGCCAAGCCGCTGCCTATCGAAACCACTAGTTTATTTAAATCGCCGTTCTTTCCAAACTGACGCCAGTTTTGAAGCATCCCCGACATTCATTCGCAGTACCTTGATAGTAAGATTTGTAGCTAACCTAGCCTCTAATTCGCGTATTGAGTAGGTACAAGTGGCAGATAAAATCGAGAGCGTAAATGAAACATGTAAATTTGTATTGAAACTAAATCACAAGTGAGCTAATTTTATTCGTATGTCATTGAACTTTCGACTTTGAAGGAAGAGGCTTCGAATTAAGCAGTAGTATCCGCAGTAGTTTTTACTGGTGGCAGGACCTCTTGTGAGTCCGCACGGGTAAGTACCACTATCCCGCCTATATCTGAAGTGAAGCAGCAATGCGTTTCGGTTTGAAGGGTGGGGCAGCCGTTGTAACTATACTGAGACCTTAGAACTTATATCTCAAGATGGGTGGTGCATTTACGTTGTAGACGTATATGGGCTCCAGTAACAACATCAGGTGGGTTGTGAGGTCGTTCATCCATCTAGGCAATAAAAAAAAACATTATCTATGGTCCGCATTAGTCACTGAACAGAAGAAAGGGTCTGGTTTACCAAAATCGACTTTGATGAATTTAGAGTTTCTTTAAAAGTAGCGAGCTGTCATAAATTATATTATCGGACATTTACCTCTTGGGCACAGGATTCCTAGTCCATCGTAAGACCCAAAAAAGTATTCCATAATAATTTTCATCGTTCAACGCTAATTCGCTTGTACGATGTGCGTGTTGCGACTCTATAAATTTGAGACAAAGAGCTAGACTTATAATTGAGATCACGAGAGTCATACCAGTCTAATTACTGTGTCGTAATGTTGTAAGTTGATGTTTTAAAAATAGCAATTAAAATCAATATAAGTTATAACTTTTTGCTATTATAATAATGTAAAAATTGTGATCAGAAAATAAAACTATGGAATTGATAGAACAATATTAACGTGTTAATTGACGCCTAGTCGGCTATGTGGTTCATTTTCCGGTCGGAACCAATGTCCTTCGAATGTTATTCTTCGTTTGGGTTCGGTATGTACTTGTTCTTATCTCGTATGTGTTTCCAGTGCCCGTAACGCAGGCGAAAACCGTAGCTTAGGATCTTTGAATGTGGAAGATTAAAAAAAAAAATTTGGTACCCTTGTGATTTGAAACTCGATGCAACGGACAGCAACTCTACTTCTGAAGATTTTGTTTTTAACTCGTACGATCTTTGTTATTGCTTAGATGGGTATACAAGCCCATGGCCCATCTGATATGCGGCTTACGGAGACCATAGACATCAACAACGTATATACCGCCACCCTCCTTGAGTTCTAAATCATAGTTTTTACAGTACAACAGCTGCCCCGGCGTTCAAATTGAAAGGCGATTACTACTTCAGAACAGAAATGGGCAGGGTGGTGGTACCTACCTGTGCGGACTCACAAGATGTCTTACCACCACTAATTAAGCAAATTATTATTTTGCGGCTTTGATTTTGATCACACGATGTTATTCCTCCTCCGTGGAAGTCAATAGCAAACATTTGTAAAGTGCGTATTTCGTGCCAAAATTGGTACCTCTCTCAGGAATTGGAACTCCGCTACATTTCCATCTTTCGATACGAATGCACCTGGCGTCTTATCCTTTAGGCTACGCGATGATGCAAAATGTTACGATTTGCGCATATTTTATGTTTGATATGTAGAAGTGCTAAAAAATAAGTTAATAAATTCAGTATCATATCTAGCTCTGAGCCTATAGACTCCGTCTTCATCTTAAAGCCATTAATCTAGCTATATGTGTAATA